TACGTTTAAATTGAAATGTCACTAGTAAAAGCAAATCAAAGTAAATCTTAATAAAATCAATTTGATCAACTAAAATTAAATTTAAAAAATTTTATTGCCTTAAGTAGAACTAGTTCTAAAGTATCTTTCCTCCTGTTGGAGACTAGTAACACTATATCAAGTTTGGTTGAAAAGGATCATTAAAAATGCTACAAACTAGAATTTGAAGGAGGTAAGGCACTTGTCTTGCATGTGGCCAGCCTGGATTTGATCCCCAGCACCCTCAAATGTCTCCTGACCACCACCAAGAGTGATCCCTGAGCACAGAGCCGGGAGTAAGCCCTGAGTACTGCAGGTGTGGCCCCAAAATAAACAAAAATAGTAAAATAGAATTTGGTACTTTTTTGGACATATGCTAGCATTATTCACATGACTCAGAATTTCTTCATGATTTTGAGATATGAAACTGTTGAGCTTGAACATAAGCCCCAGATTTTGAAGTGTTTTGGATACCAGCGTATCTGCTGGTAATTTTCCTGGCTGCTGGTGATTAAAAAAAAAAAATAGTGGCGGCTATTAATATGCTCCATCTAGCAGAGCTTCCCACAGCCTTCGGCTTTTGTTTTTCAGCCTCTGTGGGCTGAGTAGACAGCAGAGCTGTGGGCCCACAGTCCTCGGGGGAGAGCGAGCACTGGCCACGTGAGCGAGAAGGCCTTGGGCATTTGCATCTATTTTGGTGGTTTGGAAACTGGGACCTGGTTTCTGGTTCTTGGCTCTGTGTCCAAGAATGAACCTGAGCTGTCAAACAGGTGCTTTGCAATGGTGGAGCTCAGCCTCCAACAGGGATTTCTTTGGCACCTCTCTCCTTGCAGAGAAAACTGGGAGTCACCGATGAGGTGACTTCGGTTAAGTTGAGGGATCTATCTATATATCTATCTGTGTTTTTGTTGTTGTTGTTGTTGCTTTTTGGGGTTTTTTTGGGGGGAGGGTCACACTGGTGACGCACAGGGGTTACTCCCCTGGCTCATGCACTCAGGAATTACTCCTGGCGGTGCTCAGGGGACCATACGGGATGCTGGGAATCGAACCCAGGTTGGCCGCATGCAAGACAAACGCCCTACCTGCTGTGCTATTGCTCCAGCCCTGTGTTTGGTGTTTGGGCTACACCAGCAGTGCCTCTGTACTAAGCGATGGCTCCTGGTGGAGATCGAGGGACCACAGGAGATGCTGGGAATCGAACCCTGGTTGGCCCTGCAAGGCCAACTGTTCGGCTACCTGGCCTGCTTAGACTCTAAGTTGAAAGTGAGTAAGTTTACAATGGTTAATAGTGAAACGAGCAACAGTGCAGTGGCTATGGTTTCATCCTGGTGTTCCATATGGCCCCAGGAGTGATCCCTCAGGCAGGGCCAGGAATCAGCCCTGAGCACCACTCAGGGCCCAGATGCAGAACCAAAAGAAGTGAAATGAATAGAGAAAGAGAAGGGGGTGACAGTGTGTCCCTCTCTCCTTCTCACTTCTCCTTCTAGCAGCCCTTGGGGCGGTCGGAGAGAAGGTAAGCTCAGGACAGCTCCACAGATGCCTGCAGGCACACGAGTGTCACTGCATGTGCTGACCCTGTGGAGGTGTCCAGGTCATGCCAGGGCTTGGAGCTAATTGGTGATGTCTCATTCTGTAGTTGGGGGGCCGTTGCCCAGGGATGCTGGCAGGGCTGGGGGCAGGATTCACTCAGGACCAAGATAAGATGGAAGCCAGGACTCCCACTTCAAAAACCTGTGCTTCAGGCTGTGTGAGCTAACTCGCCAACCCTCTGCGACACACTCTCTCTTATTATGAAGTTGAATAAACACCTTTGACGGCCCCAAGACGCTGCTAGGGTGGACATTGCTCATTGGGAAATAGTGGAGGAGGTCTCATAGGGAGATGGGTCTGGGAGGAGCCCTGGAGATGTTCTGCCATTAGTCATGGGCGCACCTCTGGGCCTGGATACCTCCTGCCAATTGCTCCGACTGTGGCCATCTTGCCCATATCTCCCAGAGACGGTCTTTCTCTCCCGTTTGGACTGGATCTGAGCTCTCTCCAGTTCAAGAGTTCGGGTCTGAGTTCCACCTGAGTTTTTCTTGCAACCCTCCTAGATCTCTCTCTCGTTCCCTTTGTGGATCTCTCGTTCCTGTTCACCACCAAGGCACAGAGTTTGAGAAACGGTTGGAGCTGGAGGAGGAGGAGGAGGAGGAGGCAGGATGGGGACACTCGCTTGGACCTGCTTCCGGGGCAGAGGGAGGCTTGGGCGTTCAAACAGAACAGCCAGCAGAAAACCCGGCCATGGGGGCTGGAGACAGGCCGTGTCTGGGTTGTTTGTGTAAGGTGTGCCCAATAAACCTTTAGACCCAAGCATACGCGCATCACACCCAAGGCGCCAGCAGAAGCCTGCTCTTTCACAGAAGTCTGCTGGATAAAGATCTGCTTCTTGGAAAGAAACACAGTTTCTTTAGCATAAGATTTTCACTGAACCCATCCCCCTCTCCCCGCCCCTCTTATTTCTTGACTGCTCTGAGGCCTGTTATCTCCCATCATCTTCTTCGGGCCTCGGCCTAATGATTAGAACACTGAGATATTTGGGTTTCCTGTTCCTGTTCAATGCGTTTCATCAGCAGAATAAGGAATGGGGACACTGGGGGTGGGAGGGGGAGAGGTTGACACTTAAAATGTGTTCCTGGGGCTGGAGAAATAGTACGGCAGGAGGGAGGGCATTTGCCTTGCGTCCAGGCAACCCAGGTTTGATCCCCAGCACCCCAGATGGTCCCCTGAGCTCTGCAGGATGGATCTCTGAGCACCTCTGTGGCTGGCACAAAGAGCACCACAAAAAGGGTTTCTTTAATGTGGACTGCGGGATAGAGCGGGCAGTGTTCCCATGCTTGTAGCTCTTCTTAGTCTTGTGGTCCATGTCTCCGACCTGCTTCCTTCTGAGAACACAGCCAGCTTCCTTCTCAGCAGGGCTGTCCCCGGGGGCAATCCCTCCCCACACCTACTGGCCCGCACTTGCCTTGATTCATAGCCTCGGTAAGAGCTACTGGTCAGTTGAAACGTTTGGACAAAAGAACAAAAGAACCGACTGTGCCCAGATAGGAAGTACCGCTCGGGGACTGGAGCAATAGTACAGTGGGTAGGGCTTTTGCCTTGCACGCGGTCAACCCGGGTTCAGTTGCCGGCATCCCACATGGTCCCCTGAGCACCACCAGGAGTAATTCTTGAGTGCAGAGCCAGGAGCAACCCCTGTGCATCTCTGGGTGTGACCCAAAAAGAAAAAAAAGTACAGCTTGCTGTAGGGCCATCATCAGGCAGCTGAAGGATGGATTCTACTTGAGGCGTGAATAGTGAGCCCACAGATACCAGCTCTCTGTCGGGGTCTCACACATGAACCCTGTCCCGAAGGCCAGGAGAACCCTGAAAAGAGAGTACTGAGAGGCAGTAGTGCTGTGTGGGGAAGAGAGGGAGCCCTTCTTTCCTCACAGCCCGGCCGATGAGAGAGTGGTCCCCAGGAGCAGATGCAAATCCTCAGTTAAAACACTGAGCTGTGATTTTCCGTCAGGGTGACAAGACCGTTTGCTCACAAGCTTTTGAAGTTTTCTCCCTGGTGTTTCACGGGTCATTTGAGGCGAGCAAAGATGGTTTTTGCTGTGGAGAGGCGGAGTCGCTGAGGAGTTTTATGGTGTTGAACTTACCTTTGGTATCGAGAGAGAGAGAGAGAGAGAGAGAGAGAGAGAGAGAGAGAGAAGTTATGTACATAGGGTCGGTGACTTAGCATAGCGGGTAAGGCACTGGCCTCGCTCTCAGACAACTGGGGTTCAATCCCTGGCATACACGGGGTGCCCCAAGAACCACCAGGAGTGATCCCTGAGCACAGAGCTAGGGGTAAGCCCTGAGGAACTTCAGTGTGACCCCCAAACAAAAGACAGTAGAAGACTGTGTGTATATATAACCATATATAAGTACTTTCTCTCTGTATACGCACTGAGACCAGTTTGAACCCGGCCTGTCTCACTCCTTCCTCTCTGCTGCAGGAGCCTCACAGCTGGACAGCAGGACAGGAGCCACGTGGAGATCTGCTGGCCTTCCCATGAGGAGCCGGCTGGGCCCAGGCTTCCCGTGACAGACTAGCCCCGGGGAGCAGAGATCATGGTGCTGCGGAAGTGACCGGAAGACCCAGGTGAGCTCCGAGAGTGGGTGGCTGGGACCGACAGGTCCAGAGAACCTCTTTCTGCCTTCACCTCCCATCCTATGCCCCTCATGGAAAAGGCACCATTTTTCACTGAACTCATTCGATGTTCTGGGGCCACACTCAGTAGTCCTTGGGGGGGAGGGGGGATTTATGCTGTACCCGGGGATCGAACCCACAGCCCCTCACAGGGGAGCCCTTCTTGCTCTGCCCTTTGAGCCTCTGTCTTGGTTCCCTCATGGACCCTTTGAACCAGTATCTGTTGTCTCCTTGCAGTGTAAGCACGTTCGGCTATGTCCCATGGGCCCTATGTCTTGTAGGTCCCCTCCAGCCGAGTTAACTCAGAGAGGTGTCACTCATATTCCTACGCCTTCGGGTCGATGGGTCCTCAGGAACCTGCCTGGGTCCTGCAACCCTCCCCCTTCCGGAGCTCCCGCGCTGGTTCCCTTCCCCAGTGCACAAGCTTCCTTGGAAACCCTCAGGCGAGTCATGCCCACCCCACCCCATCCAGATGCCCTTTCTGTATTCCAGGGAGGAAACCGGGCTTTGACTTGCAAATTCTATATTTTCCTATTTGCAGTGAACTCTGGGACTCTCCACGCTCCCCTGGAGGGGAGCTGGGAGCTGGAGAACTCTTGTGTTGTGTCTTACTGAGCTGTCAGCGTTGTAGGGGAGCTCTGAGGTTCAGGGCTAGGATGTGTGAGAGGGAGAGACCCCTCACCTGTAGTAAGTGGCTGTGTTTCCTCTCCAGGTGCCCTGGTCCCCCTAACAGTCTCCCCCAGGAGTGCATCTTCCAGGTCACGTGAAGATGGATGAGGACCCCAGGATGGAAGTGAGTTGGGGCCCCGTTTCAGTTCCATGTCTGGGGCCTCTTTTGAGAAATAGCTCTCTCGCTCTCTCTCCTCTCTCTCTGTCTCTTTGTCTCTTTCTGTGTCTTTCTCTCTCCCTCTCTCTCTCTGTCTCTGTATGTCTCTCTCTGTCTCTCTCCATCTCTCAGTCTCTGTATGTCTCTCTGTATCTCTCTCCATCTCTCTGTCTCTGTATGTCTCTCTGTATCTCTCTCCATCTCTCTGTCTCTGTCTCTCTGTTTGTCTCTCTCTGTCTCTCTCCACTTCTCTCTCCATCTGTCTCTCTGTCTCTGTCTCTCTCTTTTTGTCTCTATCTCTGTCTCTCTCTCCCTCTCCCTCTCTCCCCCCTCTCTTCTCTGTCTTTCTGTCTATCTCTGTCTGTCTGTCTGTCTGTCTGTCTCTCTCTCTCTCTCTCTCTCTCTCTCTCTCTCTCATCTGATACCAAAGGTAAGTTCAACATCATAAGACTCAGGAACTCAGGTACAAGAGAAATGTTAGACAGGAAAAATCAAAATCAAAATACTGTCACAGGGGACTTTCCACTCTGTAGGTAGGAGAGAGTGGAGGCTGGAAAGTTCTGGAGGATTCCATGAACATGCGCATCTCAGGCTGGAGAGGACTGCAGGTCTGGGCTGAAGGTCCAGTGAAGGTTAGGCCAGCGTTGCAGTGCTGGCCCCTTGCAAGCGGCCTCAGAGGCATGCCTGGCAGTGTGTGGATCCACACAACCCCGATTATTTATGTTTCCCACAAGAGTAGAAGTTAGAAGCACTCAAGAGCAGAGAAGGCCTTGAGAAGCCCTGAGGGCTGGGGTCCTCTGGCTCTCCATTCTGAGCTCCAATCCCAAGGCCGTCCCCCCCGCCCCCCCAAGCGGAGATGGTAGTTGGGCTGTGGTTGTGCCAATAATTGTCCTTCAGGACGGGCCTCTCTGAACCAGGGTTCACAGACCATTCAAGCGCCCAGGTAAAGGCGAAGTACTCCCAAGCACACTCTGTCAACACGTCATCTGGAACCTTTCCATCACCCTAGAAAGAAAACCCACACCTCAGGGTGGTCTCTCTATGTAGCCACCCAGAGCCTGTCACCAACAACTGTCTCTCTGTCTCTAGAGAGACATTCACTCAGGGTGACTGATATCAATGGGATTGTGGGACATGTGACCAGCCATCACTGGGTTCTCTCGCCTCCTGAGCGTTTTCAGGGTCACACTGGAGCATGGTATGGCCACACTGTTCCTATTCCTGACTGATATGGACTCCACTGGAAAAGGCTACACCATACTGGTTTGTCCCCACGTCAGTGGATATGGGCGCTGAGGATAGACATTGTTTTCACTTAGAAAAATCACAGAACTCAAACAATTTTTGTAGTGGTGTTGTGATGGGCAATGGCATGAAAGGCACATTTTATCCACCAGTCCTGCCACTGGAGTTCAAGATCCCTCCAGCACTGCCCCGATCCCCTGCCCCCAACCCCTTTGCCTCCTCAGACCCCACTGCTATTGATCCTGTCCTATGGACTATTGTTTCCACTGGGACTGTCCTTCATATCTTTATATGCTGCCTATGAGTGAATGGTAGTTTACCACAACACAGCCAGTCCCGTTAAAGTCACTCGGGCCTCTGTCCAGCTGGGGACAGTGGCAGAGAATGAGATGAACACACAAGGAAACAAAAAATTCCCAAGGACTTTCCAAGCTTTAGTGTCACCTGAGCAACCACAAGTGGCCTCACAGACTGGCCACTTATTCCGTGCACTGTCACTCCCAACCGGACTCCCAATATGTGAGCCACTGATTAAGTCAACAGAGACATTATTTAACTTTCCCACTTTCTTAAAACACCAGAGTCTACAAAGTTGTTCATGACGATTTGTTACAGACATTCGATATCCCAACTCCAGTCTCACCTCCACTGTCACCTTCTCTCTACAGCTGCCACCTACCCATCACCACTGTCTCCATTTTTCCAATCACCCCTCAAACTTGCCCCCACAGCAGGCCCACAGTCATTTATTTTATATTGCTTGGTACCACTAAAAGGTCAACGGAATGATCAAAAAAATTATTTCCATAGACATAAATTTGTGAAAATTGCTGTGTCTCATCATGGGGCCAGTATGTCCTTGTCTGCAGGGTTACTAAGCTGCTGTTGTGTGTTAAGCCTTCTGTGTTAATGCTTTTGTTGGTCAACATTGGTTGGCTCCTGCCTTAGATCCCATACAACCTGGTGTGTTACTACTGGGATGTCACTGTTGTAGAGTTTGAAATGTCATGAGGCCACAAATGCAGCCACATGCTCCAGAAAATCCAGAATATTTAACTGGGCAGTTAGATATTTAACTAGGCATGGCTGCTGGGTCTTCCGGAATTACAGGGAGGTGAGGGGAGGTCGCCCACCCTGAGTCCAAGAAGGCCTGGAATTTTCAGCCGCAAAGACCTGTGTACCTTGAGAGTTGACAGAGACATTAAGGACAGTTAACAAGCACATCAAAATTCAATGGGCACATTGCATAGCCAGCCAACAGGTATCCTTACAGCATAGAGTAAAGTCGTGGCAATTTCCCACTCCACTTTGCCTGTTTTCCTCTTGTCTAAAAGACCTTAACTGTTTCATTCTGCCCATGCAGGCTTGCCACCATGGTTTGACCATGACTTATTCTACTCTTTCCTGGGCTCGTTTGCTTGTCCCTTTATTCTCTAATATTTTTTCCCAAGGGACTATCCTGATGTCGAGGTTTTAATCAGGGGACAATTTCCCACAAGTAAGATCATTTAGTATTTGTCTTTTACTGGCTGGGTCTCTTTACTGAGCTCTGTCCAAGCTGCATTATTTCATCTTCTCACTGCTGTATAGTATTCTCCTATGCACACCTACCTCAAGTCCTTTATCCGCTCATCCACTGTTGGGCACCTGGGCAGATCTTGACTACTTAACTAGTGTTGTGAGGAACATGGGTGTGCATATGTCTTTCTGACTTAACGCTTTTGTGCCCTTGGGATGCGATGCCGGGAGTGGAATCACTGGGTCTCATGGAAATTCAGTTTGTTCTGAGGAGCCTCCAAGCTGTTTTCTAAAGAGAATGAAGCAGACCACAGAGCCACCAGCAGCGAGCAAGTGTCCCTTTCTCACCACATCCCCACCAGCACTTATTGTCGTGAGTCTTTGTCACTTAGACCACACTGGCGGGTGTGACCACCAGTAGGCAAGGCTATGCTGAACGTTTTGAGGAACTGGAAAAGAGGTTTCCCAGGTGACCGTCCCGTTGTTCAGTTGCGTGTGAGGCAGAGGTGTGAATCCCGAACCCCATACCTTCACCAGCACCTGTCCAGCTGGATTTCAACCATCATGGTGGCATGAAGTGGTAACTCCTTGTGATTTTCCTATCGGCAAGGTGTTGAGTGTGGGTTGTTGTCTGTCTTTCCTAGGGAAGCAGCTACCCACATTTCTCTGTCTATTCCCACTTCCTGTTTGTTGTTGTTGTTGTTGTTGCTGTGACCACGTCTGTGTGTGTGTGTGTGTCTAACCTTTGACTGTGGTGCTGGGTGGACACCGGGAATCCCAATGGGCAGCCTTGTAGGGGAAGGAGTGATCTTCGACAGAGCCTCGGTCCCAGCCCTGGCCCATGTAAAATGGTTTTCCTTGTCCCTTTTCCTTTTACCAAGTGTATCTACCTTGTCTGTCCTCGGAGACAGCCCTGTTGAGTAACTAAGAAGAGGCGAGAAAAAGGAAGCGAATCTCTTTCGCTGTGGTTCAGCTGGTCTTGTACAGCCTTAGTAAAGGAAGTTGAGCCTGGAAGTCCCCCGATGGAGGGTTATTAGGGACCCCCCCCCCGGTACCTGGCAGAAAGCATGTCAGTGGTGTGTGGGGTCCCTCACCCTGCTGGGAATCCCCTTCCCATGCTGAGAGAAGGGAACATCTACATTTGCGGGTGAGGCCAGAAGCTCAGAGAGGGACCAGGGGCTGCCCGGGGTCACTAGTCTCAGCAGATTCCAGGGCCCATTTGTTTATCAGACTTCAAAGAATGAACCTTCCTCGGACCCGACAGAAAGCAAAGGGGTAAAGGATCTGCCTGGCATGTTGTCGATCTTGGTTCAATCCCTGGCATCCCATGGTCACTGAGCACAGCTGGGTAACCGCCAGCACCTCAGGACCTGGCATGAACCACCCACCAGGTTGACCTGATTGCTGGGAGGGCTGGGAGGGCCCCCCTCTGTCCTCACCTCTCCGGGCCTCATCAGAAAAAAAAAAATTGAACCTCTCTGAGCTCCCCCCCCACCTGCCCCTTCTTACTGAGCCCCCGGGAGCTAGAAGGGTCACTGCAGAAGCACCTGAGAAAGGCACCCAGGAACACGGAGAGACTCAGCAGGAAGGGCCCTGCCTCTCATCCCTCCCTTCCCCACCCCCATGCCACGTGGCTCCCGGGCATAGCCAGGCATGGCCTGCAGGCCTTCCACGCTGCTGGGGTCACCCAAGAAGCCACCCTCGGGCCCTGGCATCAAACTGACTGTCCAGTTGGCTAAGGCTCGCTGTGGGGATGCCTGGACCTCCTAAGCTTGGGAAGCCCCCCAGTTTTTAAAAGAAACATGTCAAGGGGAAGCAATAGCACAGCGAGTAAGGCGTTTGCCTTGCACACGGCCGACCCGGGTTCAATCCCCAGTATCCCATATGGTCCCCTGAGCACTGCCAGGAGTAATTCCTGAATGCAAAGCCAGAAGTAACCCCTGAGCATCGCTGGGTGTGACCCCCCCAAAAAAAATAAATAAAAGAAACGTGTCCCCTCTGATGGGCACTTGGTCTTGCAGCCCCCCTGATGGTCTCTTCCTTAGCATTGGCCATTTTACAGTGTGATGTCCAGTCTCTTTGAGGGGCTGAGTTGGGAAAGGCACCATCTGAAGATGCTGGCCCTCGGATGTCATGCCACTAGGCGTGAGGAAGGGCCGTCTGCGGGCTGCGGAGCTGACTGACCGCTGGGTCCTCAGTCTTCC